CATTGTAAAGGAATACCTTAATCAAAAAGTACAGATCTGTTAAGAGGGGAAGCAAGTTGACTCTCTAGTCCAAGAAAACATACAGGAAATTCACCCACTTGAGAATGTGAATTTTCAGACCATCTCGACAAAGAAAGGACATAGATGATGTATGTGTTCCTTCTATATATCACAAAATTAGTACAGAGTGAAGATAAAGTAGTGATATGGGACTTTATCCAGATATATTCTAAAAATTTTAATTCAAATAAAATAGACTATTTTGATAAGTTCTTTCCTAATAAGTTCCTCTCTCAGAGTATAGAGGAAGAAAACAGGGAGCTGCTATGCTGTGCTTAATTCAAATTAACAATGAGTAATTGGTTGGGAGAGTGTAAGTGGAAGATTTCAAGCAGATGGGTAAAAAGCAACTTGGTAGACTTTTTATTGTACACAAATAGTTGCTGTTCCTCCCTGGCAGAGTGTTACACTTCTTTACCCCTTTGACATGAGCTTAGTCGTGTGACTTGCATTGGCCAATGAATTGTAAGCAGAAGTGATATATGTACATGCATTACTTCTGGACAAATGTTTTTAGCACATAGTTTTCTGTGCTCTTTTTTTTATCTGCTACAAGACCAGCAAAGAGAAAGAGGCTATTCTATCAGCTTCAGGCCAGTATAGACATGTACCATCAGTGAAAAAAAAAGAGTAAATTCATTGTTGTAAAGCAATAGTTCTTAATCAAGGGTGGTCCTTCCCTCCACCACCCCGAGGACAAATGGCAATGTCTGGAAACATTTTTGGTTGTCACAGTTGGTGGAGTGCAGCTAGTATCTAATGAGCAGAGGCCAACTTCTGGAGTTGTTTGTAACTACACATAACCTAGCCTTCTTCTGACTAATACAGCAGCTATCACCTTAATTTTATAATGGCCAGTGTGAAATAGTTGGGTGTAATCAGACAGGTACTCTAGTCATTAGGAAGAATTCTCCAGTGAGCTCAAAAAATTTTTTTTTAAACGACAGGTTTGTAATCAAAGATAAGTATGAGCGTTTTATAGTCTTCTAAAAATAGCATTGGAAAAACTCAGGCCCAAAATTAACATAATTTAGACCTGCAAAAAGTACTGAAATCCGAAAGGGTTTTTTGTTTGTTTATTTTAGTTGTATTAGGAACAAGACCAAGCAAGAAATAAACCTGTTGTTTGATGCTTATGAACAACGTAGAGAAAGCAGAACAACGCACTGAAAAGCTGCCTCATTCCCTCATCTCTGGCCACTGGTCTGATCTGGACCACCTACTTCCTGCTTTTCTATGACAGCTGATTCTTCACCATCATTTTGAGCAATAGTCCTTTTTAGCCCTGGCTCTTAAGCTTTGCATGTACAGTCATGTGAGTGTAATGTCTGTTCAGGCAAAGTCTGACTGCATATATGTCCATGGTCCCGTAAGGTTTTTTGTTCGTTTGTTTAAGAGGGCAGGCAGCTCTCCTTTTGTGTATTATTTACCCCCAATGGTTTTAAAGACCCCAAACCCTCAGAGTGAAGGAGCAACGGTGCTGCAGGGCACATCCCAGTCCCCGCAGTGCCTCCTCTTCCTTCCTCTCCTCGTGGCTTTATTCACCAGCCCTGCAGCGGGTCCCTCCTGGCGTGCAGGGCAGCACCTGTCAGGGCTCCTCCATTCCTGTTTAGGGCACGGGCTAAGCAGCAGGAGCCCGGACCGCCACCACCAGCTGTGCTCTAGGCACCCGCACACCTGCTCCCCACCCAGTCCCCACGGCCACCTCTCCATACCCGCTATGCCTGGACAGGCGCAAAATCCCGATCCTGCTTCCGAGCAGCCCCCTACCCCGCCTGCAACTGCACACCCGGCAAAGCCGGCCTCCTGTATCCCGTGGAGCCGTCCGCCGCGCGGGCTGCTGGGCCCGGGCTGCTCCTGCTTCTCAGACTGAAGGAACAGTGGGCGGGGCTGGGCACGTAACCCGGAGATTGCCTGTGTATACTGTACTACAGTGTTAGTACAACCCCAAATCACATAACAGCCTATCTCACAGAACATATAGTGAACATTAAGGGACACATGACTGTACTTGCAGTGTCAGAAGCAGTTATTGCCCACCATTGTTACATGGCATGGTCCCTGCTTTAAAATCCTGTAAATGATGTTTTGGATATATCTGTCCCTTCCTAATAGAGCTGAACAAGGATGGAATGCTCTATTTCAGGGGTAGTAGTTCCCTGTCATTAAATATTTTGAAGCAAAGACGAGAGAGCCACTTGGTTGACTAGTCTCTGCCAACCCTGATTACATATATTTCTAAATTAAAAACTCTAAATTGAACGCAAGAAAAAGTTTTTCTACCTTGTGTCTCTCAACTCCTAGCATATTTTAGCTATGTCTAAAAGCAAGATACTGGGAAATGAAGATGCTAGTCCTTCAGTGACCATAAAAATCACCTTTGAACCTTCTCCTTTCTTTGAGAATAGAAGTGATAACCACAGGGTCCTGGTAGAGTCCAACTCTGTTAATTGTATAGTTCATGAGAATTTCATCATCACATTAGTAAGGCTTTCTTGCCTACCTGTCCAAACTGATTGCTTTAGTTTTCATTACCTACCATTGTGTCTGAGTCACCAAATCTACTTTCTGAAGTGCTTGCTCATTGTAGGCCTCTCAAGTTCATAGAAGAATTACTGCCTAAAGTGGTAATCAAGCAATGTTAGCATGACAAACGCCTGTCTGTACACTTTCTCCTTATCAGCTTTTTGAGTGGCAAGAGATTTAGTAAAAGTACAAACCATTAGTGAATCTCTGTTCTCTCTCTAATTCAGCCTAGTGGTAAGAATTTTGGAGCCCTGGTGGCACAGTGGTTAAGAGCTCAGGCTGCTAACCAAAAGATTGGCAGTTCTAATCTACCAGCCACTCCTTGGAAACCCTATGGGGAAATTCTGCTCTATCCTATAGGGTCACCGTGAGTCAGAATTGATTTGATGGCAACAGGTTTGGTAAGAACTTTACCTAATGTTAGCTCTTTAATTGCAGTCATGAGGGTAAGGTATACAGCATTTGGGGTACATTCTTTTATTATTATATTCTTTATTAATCAATTATTTGTAAACCATATCGCAGTCAAAAGTTATGAAATCAAAACTGGGAAGATGGCTTAGTAGTAAAGTGAGATACAGTTTAAGATAAGAGTTTATAATATAATATGAACTATTTATAGATTAAAATGCATTTTGTGCCTTCTTAGTTTTACATTTGTTGCACTGAATCTTTCTTTGGTTTTGCACCTTCAAATTTGGGCTTAAAAAATCCACCTGCCCCCAAAAAGGAACTACCAAGTCACAAAGTAATACAGATAGCAAATAAACATTTTTTAAAAATTAAATATTAACAGTAATTGAAGAAGGAGCCCTGGTGGCACAATGGTTAAGCACTCAGCTGGTAACCGAAACGTTGATGGTTCAAACCCACCAGCTGCTCCATGAGAGAAAGATGTGGCAGTCTGCTTCTGTAAAGCCTTGAAATCCCTGTGGTGCAGTTCTACTCTGTCATGTAGGCTATGAGTCAGAATCAACTCCATGGCAGTGGGCTAGGTTTTGGTTAGTAATTGAAAAATTCAAATTAAAATATCAAGCTACTGTTTTCCCTACTGAAAGTTTTCTGTTGTTTTCCTGTGACAAAAGTAAAATATGTCTCTTTTGTAGAAAGTAAAATGCATCTTTTTGTAGAAAATAAGAAAATACAAAAAAAGAAGGAAGCAATTTTTAAATTTATTCTCTTATTTTTGAGAATATACACAGCAAAATGTAAACAATTCAGTAGTTTCCACATGTACCGTTCAGAGACATTGATTATACTCTCCAAGTTGCGCAACCATTTTCACCCTCCTTTTAACATAAACTCACTGCCCCCTAAGGTTCCTATCTAATCAAGAAAGCAGTTTAAAAAAATCCATAATCCCATCACAGTGGCAGCACAATTAACATATCATTATGTATATGTCAGTCTTTTTTCTATCCATGTCTAAAATTAATCTAGCAGTCTCCTATTGATGCTAGATTGTTGCCTTGAATTTTTTTTATTATAAATTATGCCATAATAAACATCCTATGTGTTAATCTTTTTTTTGCATCTCTGAATATTTTGTTAGGACTAGTTCCAGGAATTGGTTTTGCTGAGTCAGAGCATATTGCATTTGTAAGGCTTTTGATTATCTCTTGCCAAATTGTTGACCAAAAAGGTTGTATCAAGTTCTCTTGTCTATATTATTTATGCCATTTTGATAACTCCAAGATGGTATCTTGTTTTAATTTGTACTTTTTTGATTACTAATCAGAGCATATTTTACATGTCCTAACAAAATACTACAAATTAAAGAAAAGTCTGTATTCCAACATCTTCATCACCACATTGTTTATAAGAGCAAAAACAAAAACGCACACACACCTAAATGTTCAACAAAAGGAGAGCACCAAAATAAACTATGCTATTCTCAACAATTAGCTATGCAACCATTAAAACTTTAAGTGTGTGAGGTGATTCTACTGACAGAGGTAAAGTAGTTATTGGATAATATTAGGTAAGACAATTAAAAGGGTAAATTTTATATGTCATTTCATGTCTACCATGTAAGAAAGAAAATATACCAGAATGTAATTGCTTCTGCATGGCAATGGGTGACTTTTTAATATTTCACAATGTTTAATACTTTCTGTGTTTTTATAATTAGCATTTATATCACTTTTTTGAAGCAAACACGTTTTTGTTATGTAGACCACATAAAGGGTACAAGAAGGGAGAGGAAATTGTCCACCTTCCATTTTGCGTAACGTGCATTCTAAAGATAATATTAAACGTTTGGTATTGAAACAGCATGGACCAATTAAGTAAACAAGATTCTGGTAAACAGTTAAATATTTGTCAAAATGTTAAAAGTTCCACTTGCTTGAGAAGCTGTTGTTGGAATCACACTGAAAATGTAAGGTTGTGTATGGTTTTCTTTTCCTTTTTAGGTTGCTGCTGTTGATCTCCTAGTCCCTGGAGTTGGGGAGCTCTTTGGAGGAAGCCTCAGAGAGGAACGGTACCATTTCTTAGAGCAGCAACTGGCTAGGTATTGGTCAGACCTAAAAGAAATACTGTACAGAAATTAGGGATGAGACACTCCCAGGTAGTCATGGTAAAGTAATAGAGAAAAGCTCACGGGCTTTGAAACCTGACAGACCTGAATCTCAGATTCTATGTGACCCTGAGCAAATTATTACTTAACCTATCTGAGCTTTTTTCAAAGACTGAAATTGTAACAGGAAACAAGGCTACAAGAATATTTGCCCACAGTTTGCATGTATTTCTCCCAAGGGACAGTTGCTTTTAAAAAATAAAATTAATAATAAAAGGAGAAAGGGGATTTCCCTTTATAGCTCGTCCCTTATTTTTCTCTTCTCTGCTCTTTTCTAATTTACTGTCAGTTATGATTGGCAGTCTCCTTCAGGGACAAAAAGAAAGACTCTGAACCAGGGAAAGGGTAAAGACGGGAAAGAAAGCTAGTAAAAAATATCTGCTAAGCTAGCGTTTAGAATAAGCAGGCTTCAGTTCTTCAAGTTCTCTACTACCTAAGGGTCTCGATTTAGCTATTTGAGTGTCTTTATTTCAACTCACTGTTTGTAACCTGGGAAATAAATCCATAAACACATAGAAAACGTTTTGGAGATGGGATGTAGGGAATCATGTTTCTAATTGAATTACCACTCCTGTGTACACAATCTGCCAACAAACCACAATGACTTCCTAAACTAACCAAGGTTATAAACCTCTATTTTCAATGATATTCACTTTTGCTGTGCCAGGCTTAAAAAAAAAAAAGACTTTCTCATGTCTGTAGGCTTAATCCTTCTCTCCAGATAATACTGGGTTTCACGGTAACCTGGAAAAGCCATGATTGTTTGAACATATCCTATTAAGTTAGCCATTTGTATGGCCTCCTTTTCCTAGTGGAGAAGTACTTAAATAGTTTGATGCTTTTCCAAGATCCCAACCTACAAATCAGGTAGCTTGATTTTGTAATCCCAATCATTTAAATTGCTCTATTGGTTAGGATCCAGAAGAAGGAGGATAAACAGTCTGTGAGAATTCTTTTTATCAGCCAGACTACTAACTCCTTATTACTACTATAGTGTTAGAAAGTCCTGGGAAAATTGTGGAATTGAAGTGAAGATCAGACTCTTTAGGTGAAAAGAATCTGAGGATTCTCTGAGTTTTTTAAAAAGGACAGTTAAAATCATACATGGCACGATACCTCATCTGTTGAAAGATTAATTGGTCTGTTTTCTTTGCTTGCTTCCTTCCTTCAGGAAACCTTTCCTCATAACACGTTAAATGTTTACCTAATATCTGATAATAGCCAAATTTATCTCTCCTAATAAAATGGATATGTATCTTTCTCTATCTCAGGAATCTGTCTGTGACCTCTGTTCATGTTTTCTGTATTTTTGTATATTTGAATTTTTCTGAGTCCTGATCACTTCAGATATACTGTGATCCCAAACACTTTTATAATAAAAGTGCTGAAATTAATTTTAATTAATACCAAGAGCTTAAAATTTTATTAACATTTCTCAAATTAGACAAGAACCAATTTGCAATCATATTGTGAAGGCAGCCACAGAATCTACATTATTATTTTAATGTTGTAAAATGAAAGTTGTATTCTTCTCTTGTCTATGTGTGCCTCCCAACAACCTTAAATAGTAATAATAACACTTTTGTTACTGTTAATAATAGTCACAGAGCACTAAGCTCATCTCAGATGAACCCTTTCCTTTGGTCTCTGGACCATATTTTCTTTCTATAGCATGTATTGCCTATATCACTTATTTGATAATACCTTGGATTATAAGCTAACTTACTATAAAATAAAGTTCCAGCTCATCAACTATATTGCCTGTTATTTGAGGGTGCAGGCTATGTTGTATACTTCTTTATAAAGAGCTGTTTGCACACAACCCAGAATAAATGTTTGATAGTATATTTATCTTGAAGGAGCCCTGGTGGCACATTGGTTAAGTGCTCAGCTTCTAACCAAAAGGTCACTGGTTCGAACCCATCAGCTGCTCCACAGGAAAAAGATGTGGCAGTCTGCTTCTCTAAGGATTTGCAGCCTTGGAAACCCTATGGGGCAGTTCTACTCTGTCCTGTAGGGTCACAATGAGTCGGAATCAACTCAAGGGCAGTGGGTTGTTCAGGTTACCTCTACCAAGGAGCCCTGGTGGCACAATGGTTAAGAGCTCGACTGCTCACCAAAAGGTCAGTAGTTTGAATCTACCAGCCGCTCATTGGAAACTATATGGGGCAGTTCTACTCTGTCCTATAGGGTCACTGTGAGTTGGAATCGACTCAGTGGCTGGGTTTTTATATTTATCTTATTGCCGTTTCCTGAATTTTGTTATCTTCCTTTTACAGATTAGGACTGACAGAAGCCTACCAATGGTAAGAATGTGGCCCCTAATGATTCTTATTCTAGCTGCTGGTCTGAGTTACATAGAACAGTTTGTTTTCTGTATTTAGATTTTAACCACTCCAAGACAGTACGGAAGAGTGTTAAAGCACGATGGATAGGGGCTCAGAAGATTACTTACTCCCCTTAGATCCTTGAAAAATAGTAATAATAATAGTTACCATTTATTTACTGCTTATTATATGCCACATAACTATGTTTTATGTGTATTATCTCATCTAATCAACACAACACCCTGTGAATTAGGTACTATTATTGTCCCCCATTTTATTATCACTCTAGGCCTAAGGCCTAGAGATGTTATCTAACTTAACCAAGATCATACAGTTAATGTGGAGCAGGACTTGATCCCAGGTCTGTCTGAACTGAAAACCTTTGTTCTTAACCATTATGCTTCAGTTTCTCTATGTGTGAAATAAGGGCTAGGGCCAAGTGATCCGTAAGGTCTTCATCAACTGTAGAAATCTGAGCTGCCTTATGGAAGATCACCCTTCTGCATTCATACATTCACTTAACCAAAGTTGTTCTGCCTTTCTTTCTGCAGAACCTTTCCTCAAGTATGTTTCAGTATATTCAAAGTATTATGTTTCTGTAATAGCACTCCTTCAGGATCTTAATGTAATAATATCGACAATATTGTTAGTTCTTTTTCTGTTCTCAGGAGAAGGAAGGAGCAAGTTACATTCTTGCCTTTTGGTAATGAAGGAGCTAGATTTCACAGATGCAAAAGAGTTAAAACTGAGTTCAAGTAATGACCTTTGAATGCCAGTCTTTGCCAGTAAAGACCTTGAGCAAACTGCTTAATCTGTTTGAGCCTTGGTTTTCTTGGCTATAAAATAGAATAATAGCTAATTCACAGGGTTGTTTTGAGGATGAAGTGAAACAAAGTAGGTTAAATATCTACATGATATAGAAATACAATAAATGCTAATTTCCTTCTCCCTTTATTTACTTTGTTCTGAGTCCTGTTATTAAGTAAATAAGTCTGATTGAGCAAACTTATGCACTTCACCTCAGTTTATGTCCATGAGATAATATTCACAATATGTAAAAACTAGCTATAATAAAGAACTAAATACAGATTTTAATTATTGGTTAAGTTTAGTCTTTTTTCTAGCCTTTATTAATCATTTCAAAACTATTCTTTCCCCAACTGAAGTTTTGAAACTCTTCAAATCTCCAAGTATAAATATTTTTATTATTGAATTTGCTTTCTTTTATACGATGATCATAGTATTTTAAAGGTAGAAGGAACTTCAGAAATCCTTAAGTCTGTGATCTCTGCTAGTGTTCCACTACTGTGGGTAGCCATCCTAGGTGTCTAAGAATTTACTCACTTCTTGTTTCTACATACCACATGCAAATAAAATCTGTAAATAGTTCCACAAATTTTATAGAATTTCTTCTATAATCTGGCCACCCTAGAATCAATTTAACAAGAACCAAACCAAATACATACTCATTAGAAAATTTTTTCCTTAAAAGTGGATTTGTTTTCATCTGTCAAAGTAAAGGGAAGAAAAACTAGCTATAAACTGAATCCCTCTGCTGAATTGAGTTTCTAGACATTTATGAAATGTTTTAACATAGATGTATGAGAAATTTAGAACCATCTAAAGCTATTGCTGCAGAGTCAGCAGCCAGCTCAGGTCCTCCAGATGTTTGTGCCAGGTGGTTTGGTGTGCCCTTCGTCTCATTTTGTCACTAAATCGAAATATACCCCATCCCCATGCCTTCTGAACTTAAGGTTAATTCAACTACCAAACATTTCAGTTACTGAAGACTGTTCCTCCCATTATTCCTTATAGTTCTTACTAACCTGTGGTTTTATACTAGATACCCCTGTCATATTGACCTCTCACCTGCTTGCAACTCACCTAGTTGCAATTCATTTTTTATTTTAGAAAGATAAATACTTAATCTTAACTCCCTAAAATGCCAATAAATATTACCATTATTATCAGTGGTGGAGAAATAGGTGATAGGCAGTAGTCTTGGTTATCTAGTGCTGCTATAAAAGAAATACCACAAGTGGATGGCTTTAACAAACAGAAGTTTATTCTCTCACAGTCTAGGAGGCTAGAAGTCCAAATTCGGGGCACCAGCTCCAGTAGAAGGCTTTCTCTCTCTGTCAGCTCTGGGGGAAGGTCCTTGTCATCAGTCTTCCTCTAGGTCTAGGAGTTTCTCAGTACACGGACCCCGAGTTCAAAGGACTAACTCCACTCCTGGCTCTTTCTTGGTGGTAGGAGGTCCTCTGATCTCTGCTTGCTTGTTTAATCTCTTTTATATCTCAGAAGAGATTGACTCAAGATACAGCCTAATCCTGTAGATTGTATCCTGCCCCATTAACATAACTACCTCTAATCCTGCCTCATCAACATCTTAAAGATTAAGACTTGCAATACATAGGATAGTTACATCAGATCACAAAATTGAGGATAATCACATCAGATCACACAGTGGAAGATAATTACATAATACTGAGAATTGTGGCCTAGCCAAGCTGACACATATTTTGAGGGGATACAATTCAATCCATAACAGTAGTCTTTATCCTTGAGGAATCAAGTGGTTACCATCTTTGGCACTTAAGTCTTATTCTGGAGCTGATTTTACAAATCATTCAAGAATCCATAAGCTTATTTTAATCAATACTGTATAATTCAAGAATTCTCCCACAAAGGACATAATAAAAATATTTACAGAGTCTTCCTCCTGCTGTTACCTTCCTAAAATAACTTTATCCCAGGCTGGTGCATTTGTGAGTTTGAATCATGCTTTTACCATTTTCTAATCATGCAATCTTAAGTTGAAATTTACTTAACCTCTCTGAGACTGGTTTCATCTGTATAATGTATAGTGTTTCTCACCAGATGTTGGGGGGCATCATATCCTCATTTCATCAGTTAATGCCATGTGAAGGAAACAGAGATATTCAAGAGTTAACACAAGTGGAAATCAGCTAGCTCAGATGTGATCAAATGAGTAGTGCTCAGTAATAGTTCACATGAATCAGAATTCTGCAGACCTGTAGATCAGAGTGTGGGCTAGTGGCTGTGCACCCTGGTAAGGCCATCCACTTAGGTAGGTAAGGTCATCCGCTTAGATTTATACACACATATTCAGTGGCCCCATACCCAGCCTGGAATATGAATATGCATGGAAGGACATCAGAGGCTTCTAAGCTTTCAGAAAAAAGACCCTGAACGTCTTCCACTAGGCCTGAAGCAGAGAACTGGAAGTTTCTACTCACTCCAGCACTCAAGAGTCTATTTTTGTGCCTTCAAACAATAAATCTTCATATATTGAGTAACAACTATATAGCAGGCTGGAGATACAAGATTAAGACACAGTTCCTGCCCCTGGTATAGCTGACACTCTCATCTAGAGGAAATTTTATTTTTTTTTTTTTTGGTAATGTATCAGGCAAAACTCTTAATTCTCCTCTATGTATTGAACAATATAATTTTAGGTTAAAAAAAAAAAACACTATCATTAGCATACCAAAAAATCGAAACGGAATGCATTTTCAAGAAAACTATTAAAGAAATCTGTTAAAAAGTTTTCTGTAGCCTTCCTTAGGCAAGTTTTCTGTACATAAATACATAAACAACTTAAAAAGAAAAAGGAAAAAAAAAAGGATCAGGTGACCAAAGCACACGACTAGATGGCAGGATCTGCAGCTGTTTGTCTGGGTAACATTGGATAGGTCACTTTAACTTCTCTGTTTCCTTCATCTGTCTGTTGGGGGAAAAGACTGGTCTACCACAATGATGTGGACAATAACAAATGATTACAAAATACTTTTGAAACATAAAGTTCTAATCATAACAAATGATCTCATATAGCGTTTATAGGTGATGATTCTCTGTTTTTTGAAAAAACAGGTATCTGGACCTTCGTCGATTTGGATCTGTGCCACATGGAGGTTTTGGGATGGGATTTGAACGCTACCTGCAGTGCATCTTGGGAGTTGACAATATCAAAGATGTTATCCCTTTTCCAAGGTTTACTCATTCGTGTCTTTTATAGCTGGAAGATTGGTTAACAACAGTCACCCTGTGGCAGAGACACTGCACATGGATATGCATGCAGGAGATTGCATGTTTGGATTTTAGAAATGCAGACATTTTCAATGTGTAACTGTCTTACCATAAAGTATAGTGTCTTAGGCTGGGTTCTCTAGAGACGCAAATCCAGTAAAGAGTATAAATATATATATAGATTTATATCAAGGAAACGGCTCATGGGATTGTAGTGGCTGGAACGTCCCAAGTCTGTGGATCAGAATAGAGGCTTCTCGTTAGAGGGTTGACATGTTGTGGGGTTGTTAACCAGTGTCATAAAACAGTATGTGTACTACTGTTCCATGAGAAACTATTTGTTCTGTAAGCCTTTACCTGAAGTACAATTAAAAAAAAAAAAGTATAAAAAAAAAATACAGGCACTAAATTACACAATTGAGAATGACAAAATATAAATTTTGACTCTGAGGTTGAATCATTTGAAATAATCTTGAATGAAGATGTGAGCCATTATATTATCTTTCACACCTCAGGTGGTTTGGGTTGGGGATAAAATATCTGGGAAATATTTGCTTAAGTAAAATCTGACATGTAAAAAAAAAAAAAAAAAGAATAGAGGCTTCTCTCAATTCACACAGCCACAGGGGCTGTTGAAATCCAGATCAGCAGGTCAGAGAGCAGGGCTCCCGCGCATAGGCTGTGAAGATCGACGAATCCCAAGATCGGCAGATAAGCTGATAGCTCAAGTTCCAAGAACTGGAGGTCAGATGAATAGGAGGCAGCCGCAGTATCCAGAGTGAGCAAAAAAGCCAGAACGCCTGCTTATCTTTGGATGCAGGCCACACCTCCAAGGAAACTCCCTTTCAACTGATTGGCTACTCACAGCAGATTCCCTCATGGGAGTGATCACATATAAACACTGAGAATCATGGCCCAGCCAAGTTGACACACAGTCTTAACCATCACATATAGCATATGAAAAATAGAAATGATCATGATTTTCTTAGAAAGTTAAGGGCACTTCATGGAAGGATGAACTCCTGGAAGGATGAACTCTCCCAAGAAGAGGTACTTAGAGAAGTAGAATCTCAAATCTATTACCTCAATTAAGAAGAAATGAAAAAATTGAACTAGACGGTCTCAAAGGCCCTTTCAAACTCTAAGACAGGACGAGATAGTGTATTTTACTTTTTCTTTACTCATTAGATCACCACCGTTGTGTAATCTTTGAGAAACAACTAGTAACTAAAAATAAAATGTTGAATGTTTTCTCCCTTGCCATATAACTTGTGACTTATTTCCATCTTATTCTCAGTGTTTTACTTAACATTACAGAAGAAAACATTCCTTCTTAGGGTCTCATGCAAATAATATTAATTGACTTAATGAAATTGCTATGTGAATTGAAATCTTTCTTCGAACTACATGAAAAAATCATATTTAGCAACTGTTGTTGTTGTTAGGTGCCACTGAGTTGGTTCCGACTCATAGTGACCCTTTGTACAACAGAACCAAATACTGCCCAGTCCTGCACTGTCCGCACAATCCTTGCTATGTCTGAGCCCATCATTGCAGCCACTGTGTCAATCCATCTCATTGAGGGTCTTCCTCTCTTTTGCTGACCCTCTGCTTTACCAAGCATGATGCCCTTCTCAAGGGACTGTACCCTCCTGATAACATGTCCAAGTACGTGAGACAAAGTTTCTCCATTCTCACTTCTAAGGAGCATTCTGGCTGTACTTCTTCCAAGACAGATTTGTTCATTCTTCTGGTAGTCCATAGTATATTTAATATTCTTTGCCAACACCATAATTCAAAGGCATCAATTCTTCTTCATTGACCAGCTTTTGCATACATTTGAGGCAGTTGAAAATACCATGGCTTGGGTCAGGCACATCTGAGTTCTCAAAGTGATATCTTTGCTTTTTAACACTTTAAAGAGATCTTTCGTAGCAGATTGGCCCAAAGCAATAAATACATTGTTTGATTTCTTGACTGCTGCTTCCATGGGCGTTGATTGCGCATCCAAGTAAAATGAAATCCTTGACAACTTCAATATTTTCTCCATTTATCATGCTGATTTAACAACTGTCTTTAATTAAGGATCCCTGGTGACACAGTGGTTAAGCTCCTGGTTGCTAACTGAAAGATCGGCGATTCAAACCTACCAGCTGCTGTGCGGGAGAAAGATGTAGCAGTCTGCTTCCATAAAGATTTACAGCCGCGGAAACCCTATGGGGCAGTTCTACTCTGTCCTACTGAGTTGCTATGAGTCAGAATCAACTCGACGGCAGTAGGTGGGTTGGATCTTTAATTAGGATCCCTGGGTGTCACAAACAGTTTGCACTCAACTACTAACCTAAAGGTTGGCAGTGCAAACCCACCCAACAGTGCTAAAGAAAAAAAGCCCTGGCAATCTCCTTCTGTAAAGGTTACAACCAAGAAAACCCTATGGAGCAGTTCTCCTCTGGCACACATGGGATCACCATGAATCAGAATCTACTTGATGGCAATGGGTTTGGTTTTTGGTTTAGTTCTTTAATTATAAAAACTAATGAGATGTTGTGAAACCCTGGTGGCGCAGTGGTTAAGAGATCGGCTGCTGACCAAAAGGTCAGCAGCTCGACTCCACCAGCCACTCCTTGGAAACCCCATGCGGCAGTTCTGTTCTGTCCTCTAGGGTTGCTGTGAGCGGAAATTGACTCGACGGCAGTGGGGTTTTAATGGAATGAGATATTGCATTGTTTAAACTCTTTAATCACTATTTTGTTATAGTTTAGTTTGTATTAAATGTTATAACTTCTCTAATAGTCATTAAGATAGATTTTTAATTAATACTCTGGGGAAAAAAAGCAGCAATTATATTTTTAATTCTCTTTGTTCCTTTCCCAGTGAAATTAGAAGAAAGATATTTTCAATCCAAGATGAGAATGTCCTGGTCCTATGGAAATATGGTGGTGCAGTGGTTAAGAGTTGGGCTGCTAACCAAAAGGTCGGCAGTTTGAATGCATCAGCCACTTCTTGGAAATCCTATGGGGCAGTTCTCAGAATCGACTCAATGGCAACAGATTTGGTTTTTTTTCTGTAAAAGATAGGTTATTCTGGAGTCAAAAAGTAGCATGATAGAGTGTGAAGAGCTTGAGACCTAACAATTGTGGCACTTACATGTATGATTTTGAACAAGCAGCTTACTCTGTGTGAACCCAAGTGTCATTTTCCTCACAGAGTTGATATAATTATACAACAGTGTATGTGTATGTGTGTTTTTGTATGTATTTAAAACTATGAAGTGCAACACAAGCTTTTTTAAACTTTTAGTCTTCATTGAGTTACATGTATACGGACATGTAGCAAATTGTATACTTGGTAGAATTTGTATGCATCAAATATTTGTAAAAAGGCATGCATGCCTAAATAATCAATTTCCTAAAGCTCATTAGATGACTTCTCTTAGGTTATTTCGTAATGAGTTTGTATGTGCACTTTATTTTAACCTAATTGAAAATCAAAATCTGAAAAGAAAAGAATCGCAGAACCTCAGAGTTGGAAGACACCTCTGAGGTTGTCAAGGTCGACCTTCTGCGTAATGCAGAGAGATCCTATATACTTGAGCGCTTGGTTTTCCATCCTTTTCTTAACAAGGAGCTCAGAATTCTGCAAAATAGCTCATTCCATTTCTGAGTCTCTCTAATTGGTAGCCTTTGCTAAACTTAAAAAAATCTCAGCTTAAGTCCCCTTCCCTGGAACTGTAATCCCTTGTGCTTAGATACCAAGTTCAGGACAGGATAAAAGGGATGACTAGAGCTTCCATAAGGCTTGCCTCAGTAGGTTAGAAAGAGAAATTCATTTGTTTTTTCAACAAATATTATTTGAGCTTCTGTAACCCAAGAATTGTGGTAGGTGCTAGATAAACAGTAGTGAACAAAACAAAAGTGACTCCTGCCTTCATGGAATTTACAATCTCATGGAGGAGATATGCAATAAATTAAGTAAACAAATGTTTATTATTTCAAATTATGACATATGCTATTATATAAAGAACAGGGCAGACATACATAAGCTTACAACAGGGGGCACCTCTGAAAAAGTGGTATTTATTTAACCTTAGATGTGGAAGGTAAAAATGCAGAAACCATTTAAAAATATTTGCAGCATCAGCCAACATTGATTTGGCATTCAAGTCTTACTTGATATCGTATTAATTTTGTGGAGCAAGGGTCACAAACATTCACAAACTCCATGCCTGGAGGCAGTATAGTTACCAAGGCTATTAGGAATCATGCCTCTAGTAATTTTTCAGGAACTAGATGGAATAATACTGTTAACATGATGACGTGGCATCAGAAATAAATGGGAAGACTACTAAATTAGGAGAAACCCCAGGTCCTGGTCCTAGTGCCACCATTAATTAGCTGTGGTGTGCTAGCAATTCAGATAACCTTTGTGGCCTCCAGTTATTTCATCTGCAGAACCATCATTTTGGAATAGATAAACTCCAAGGATCCTTCTAGCTTTTAATCTTGTGTGAATCTGTGCTGGACATAGTCACTAAGAATAGTTTATTTAGAGTCTGACCTACCATGCATAGTTCCCTGTTTTAGTACAAACTAGGTCTCTGAAAATGTATACGGAAATCAAATCACTGAAAGTTGAATAATGGACTTAAGTGTTCAAGGTGGATGTACGTGCAGTAGGGGAAGTTCCTTCTCAAGGACTCAAAAGTATATTATTCCTTGTTTTTTTGATAGCGTCATCAGCAATATATTTCCAAAACTTCCTACTTATTTGTTCATTCCTTTCCTTCTCAACTGAACATACTGTAGTATCTGGTTGAACCAAATGCTTGCCGCTTATATAGCAAGCCTAATAATATCCATCTTTGGCTTAACTTCTATTTTACCAATACTTAAACAGAAATAAATACTGGTGTCAGACAAAGATGCTAAAAATGCCAAAACAGAGCTCTTGCTTGCAGGCAGCATCGACAGGAAAAAACTTGAAATGTCTATTTGTCTGCTTATATATGAATATCCAAATTCTACATACAAATGGCATTTTAAAGATTTCTATGTAGAATGAATAAAAAATATAGGTTTAACAGTCAAGAACAGTTTATGCCATAATAATATTCTTATAGGGCTCAATTTGTGAGTTAAAAGGAGGTTTGAGGGTGGGTTAATACTGGAGTAACCAGTTTTTAGTGCGAGGAAAATCACATTCTGTTTTCCCAAGATTTCCAAACGTCACTCC